CTTTCTATTGTTGTCATGGCCTCCCCTATCACATCAACTTAAAAAGCTCAGACCTTTGTTAGTAGACCTGCATTTTAATGAAGGCATGCCTCATTTAATGAAGTCCTCAGGCAATTTCTGGAATACCTGTAAGTAGAGAAAAGCTTAATGCTTTATTAACTCAAGTGTTAGCAATTCTTTATCCATACTGTACTGGGCTACATAAAGTTCACATATGAAAAAAAGGGGACTTCTTCCCTCTCATTAATCAGTCTTTAAAATGTAACTCCTGGGAGTTGCATAAAGAAAAGTGATGGGGTAACTTGCTGTGAATGCATGGCACAGTGGAGAGGAAAGGGAAGGGAAGAATTAAGCATTTATTAAGTGCCTACTATATACCAGGCACTGTGATAATTTAGAGTCCAAGGACCTGGGTTCAAATCCTGCCTTAGCCACTTATTATCTGCGTAACCTTGGTCTTAACATTTAAAATCTCTGGGCCTGACTTTCCTCATCCATAAATTAAAGACTATGTAGCCTCCAACGTCTCTTCCAACATAAAATCTATGATCTTATTAACATTAAAGAAAAAGTGCAGCAATTCATGGACAGGCTGTTGAGAAGCTGGGAAGCTTTTCTATAGTGGCTAAATGACATTTCTTCTGCCTTAATAATGTGGTGCTTCCAAAGAAATGGATGCTAGATTTCTAAGTATGTTTTGATGCTTATTTTTTTAATTTATCTCTCACATTTCACTTCCTTAATGACAAGATTTGAGGTTACCTCCAAGAAATGATAGAATAAACTCCATCATCATGTCCATACTGCAAGCATGAAGACAAGCTATTTCTTAACATGACTTTATCTGTGGTGTATCACATATGGGTACACTTTGAGCTCCTGCTCATCACTAGCCCATCACTAACATCTTAACTTGGTATGACTAACTCCAAGAAAGTTGCTGGCAGTTTTGTTAATGAATAATTTCCAGCTGTGTGAGTTCCCTTCATGTCCTTGTCCAAGTGGAGGCTTAGTTTTCTAGGTCAGCTCCTACATGGAACTAGCCATCCATGATGTAAATTTTCCCACTATCCTCTAAAACATGCCAACATGCCCGAAGAGGCAATGAAAGTATGAATGTTTAGTGGCTTCACTTATGAACTATGTGCTCCTAGGTACTAGGTATCCTATAGACGTATAGCAGTTCCCATTGAAGTAGGATTTCTGGAAGGGACCTTAAAGGCCACCTAGTTCAACCCCCTTACTTTACAATTGAGGAAACTGAGGCTTAGAGAAGGTAAGTGACTTGCCCATAGTTACAAAGAAAGTAACAAAGGCAAGATTTGGACCCAGGTTTTCTTGACTCTAAATCCAACACTCTGGCCTCTATGGCACATTTACTATTATAGTAGTTTTTAGTAATCCTGGCCCAATACCAGACATGAAAAAATATGATTTTGAGGTGCAACTTCTCCATTTTACATTGAGGCCATTTTTTTTTCTGCTGGCAGAATTCATCCTTGCTCAGTTGAGATAAATCTGCAACAACAAAAAGAGAATCAGGGACCTACCTTCTCAGTAGAATCCAAAAATATTTCCAGTAGCAAATGGCACACACTTGTATAAAGATCTAGACTCTTTGAACCTAAGTTCAAATTCTTCAGATTTCATGAATGGTAGCTAAGGAATAGAGAGGTCTCCACTATTTCTGGGCAGATAAACCCAAGCTGAGAAAAAGTCATATAGCCACACCCCTGGCCCTGAGATACTTGATGGGGAGTATCATAGCAGCAGTACCAGAGGATGCCTCTTGCTAATAACAGAACTCATGGAAAAACTAGAACAGGTTATTCAAATCAATATAAATTACACTGTTGAGATTTGAGATTAATGGTGGTGATGAGACATGAAGTTTTTAGAACACATGTTGAGTTTCTTTCTACAGTCTAGTACTGTAGGTCTTCTATCTCTAATGCAACTTGAGAAAGAAAAGTTAAGTGAAAGTAGAAATTAAAAATATTAATGTAGGCATTTTCCCTGCAAATAAATACATGTCATTGGTGGGGAGGGGGAGAGGGAAATTCTTAATGTGAAAAACTGAGAGGTCCTTTCCAGTTCTAAATCTATGACCATATGAACTCTTGATTATAATGATGTATTTAATTTGATACAATATTGTGAGGTGTGCAGAGGAAGAATTATTATCTTCATTTTGAAAAGCAATAAAATTGAGGCTGGAAAGAGTGTAAATGACTTTCCCAAAGTCATCCAATTAGTAAGTAGTTAGAAAAATCTGAATTGGAATCCAGGTCCTCAGACTGCTATTCTAGTTGGGATTGAGACTAATCTCAAATTATTTGTCATAGATTTAAGTTTTTTGTATCCTCTAGCTTTGCCCCATACCCCATTTTTTCAGGGAGTATCTTGGCACCTGGCACTTTGGTATCAATAGTCAAATGTAGGTTCTTAATACCATTACCTTCATTTCAATAAATATCAACAAGAGTGTCCATAAATGGAATCCTCTTTCATTCAGTGGACAGACATTTATTAGTACCCACTACATGCCAAGGACTGGGCTGGGCACTAGAGATACAAAGCTATGCCTTTAAATATCACATAAATTTCAAAAGATCCTGGGCTTCTAAAAATAAATCACTTAAAATTAACTCAGGTTTGCTTAGGTGAGCAATCAGAATATCTGAATAAAAATAAATGACTACTAGTACATTTCCAAGTAGAGGGCTTTCTTTGACTTGCCCTGATGCTAAGGCAATCTTTGTAATTAGGTAATCCTTGGGACAACATTCTTCAGTCAGAACTGAAACCAATAGATGAGTGTTATCCAAAAGAAAGAGTGCCTCTTCCTGCCTCCTTAAAATACAAGCATTTGAGCCCCATCACCAAAAAGCTTGTAAGTACTCAATTGAACCTGGTACTATACTAGACACTGGATTGGGAAAACCAGTCTAAATGTTCAGAAAGCAAGTGACTGGGCATGATCGTTAGTAGACCCTTCAACATCCAACGATGAAGCATCTGAGAACTCTCAAATGCTGGAAATACATACATATTACTAGTTTACTTTGGGAAGTGACATTTAATTACAATGACTGTAAAGAGTTAACTTGTATAGATGGACAGTGTCTTTAGCTTAAGAAGGTAAGCTCCCCCCCCAAAAAAAAAAAACTTATATGAATGGCAGGAAGGAAAAAGATACTGGAGAAGAGGAGGGAGATCTGACAAGTAGTAAAACATTTCTAAATTACATGAGAAAATTAAAACGTGTTTGTCACTGCACATTCTAAAGGGCTCTTTATTTGGCTTAGGATACTTGCAAATGGCTGAAGCTTTTATTTTGTTCGGGGACAAAAAAAACGGGATGAGGGGAACCATCTCTATATCAGGGGCCTAGCCAGTAAAGGAAGCTTTGTCTTTTGCCAAATTGTTTACAAAAACGATCTCCCAAATTCCTTCTGGCCAAGCACATTGCCAGAGGAAACGAAAACTAGGAAAACAATTTGTACATAGAACAATGAGGTATGGTTTCACTTTGGTTTCAAGCATAAATATAAATTTGGCTCTCAAAAAAAGGGGGGATATTTAAAAGCAGAGATTGCAGTCCGGTATTTTACTATTTTAAATTAACAACTATAACTAAGTTCTGCTTTTTCTGTACTTGAGCGTGCTTCAGCAATAGAAAAGCCGTGGGAAAGCAAAGATACAGCTGTTTCCAGGCAAATGGCCCAGAACTGGTTCCAGCATCAACCACCAGAGTCTCCTGGATAACGAGGGAAACACACGCCCAAGGCGACTCGCATGCACATGTGTGTGGGGGGCTGGTTGAGTGTGTGTAGTGTGTATACACCAGTTTATAGCTTGTGAAGGATCCAGGGACTTCATGCAGGTGAATAATTCTTCGATACATTCTGCGCAGAAATGATGTCCATGTAAATTTCATTTGGGTTCCTAGTCACACTTTAAGCCACCACAGAAAACGCTAAGCTGGTTACTTCCTTCCCCTAGCTCCCACCATGAGCACCCAGATGAGTTCCCTAAACTATTTCCAGCCTAACTAAAACAAAGAACGGTCTGTAATGGATGCAGTCTCAGCCTACAGAGCAGATCGGAGCCCAGAGAACGGCCCAAAGAAATCCACCTTGCATGGTGGCACGTTGGCCCAAAGTGAAGTTCCCGGGTCAGCGATCCCGGGGCTGCCGGCCCGAAATCAGCCAAAAGAGGAAAGCGGACAAAGGGACTGGGCGTCAGGGGCTGGAATGAGAAGAAACAGGAGGGGCTGCGGGGCGAGGGGGGGACGCCTGTACAGTACTCACCTTTGCAGCTGCTTTGCTCCGCTCCTCGTTGAGCAGGAGGGCAACCAGCAGCAGCAGCAGCCAAACACCCAGCCGTGGACTCATCCTCCTCCACCTCCCGGGATAGCACCGGTAGCGGACTGGTCAGCTTGGACTTGGCACTCACCCCCCGCGGGCGAGGCACTGTTGCCTAGCCGGGTCTGCCGCGGGACACCCTGGGCGGGAGGCTGGCGCGTTCACTCTCGGGGAGCCGGTGCTTGCTCACTCGACATGGTCCCTGGCGCTTCTGCTCTGCGCCAGCTCCTCCAGAGTCAGAGACTTAGAGCTGATCGCGTAGCTCCCCTAATTTGTTGGCGCTGTTCCCTCCCCTTTGGAGTGCGCGGGCGGCGTTTCAAATGGGAGGACCCTACTCAGTGCGTGTATGAGAGAGGGGGAGAGAGGAAGAGAGAGAGTCAGAGAGAGAAGGAGAGAGAGCTTATGCTGGTAAGTAAAGAAGTCAGTGTCTCTATGCTTTTAAAGCCTTCGGCTTCCTTAACCACCCCAGCGGTACTGCTCCGGTGCCTGGGTAAGCCCCACGGAGCTGGGAGCTCTCCCTCTTCCAGCTTCTGAAGCCAGGATTTCGCGAGTAGGGGAGGGACCTCAGGGAACGAGGAGAGGAGAGGCGGAGGAGGGGGGTGGGGAGAGGAGAGTGCACTCCCTGTATTTGTGTATCTCTGGCTTTTGCCTGCCACTTCCACTGGGAGACTCAGTTATGAAAAGGGAAATGTCTGTACCCAACAGCCCCTGAGCCCTGGCCTGTAAAGGTGAGTGTGGACCCTCGGAGAAGATCTGGGAGCGCTGAGCCCTGGGGATGGGAGGGCTAGAGATTTGAAAGTACAGGCAGCCCAGCTCAGACTCTGGTGCAGTTTTCTCCGAGTTTAGGCTGGGAAAGAGAGAGGGAGAGGAAAGGGAGATTTGTTTGGTTCCATATGAGACATTGCTGCCTAAGAGGAAAGGGCTTCTCCCCTTCACTGCCGCAGTTCTCACCTAAAGAGGGAAATCCAAGTCCCAGTTCCAGGAAAAACCCGATGCAGGAGGGGATGGAGAGGCGCCGGCATTCTGGGCTGCCTGCACTACTTCTCTGTTTGCACGAGGGCCAGGTGGGGAAGAGTGAAAAGAAACCGTGATGTCAACCTCTGTATTGGCTATTTTGTCTCTTGGTATCTGCTTCCAGGCTAAAAGGGCTCGCCATTCCTGAGAGCCCGGGGCTGCTCCGGTGGCCCAGGGGTCGGCGTTCGGGGGCTCCTAGGGGCAGTACCTGTTGGAAGAATGGGCAGCAGAATGGATCCAACTGCCAGAGTTGCCCTTCGGTGGTAAGACTCTTCCCCCCTCCCCACTCTCCCATTGGACTTAGATGTGTTAATTTTGCGAACCACTTTTCAAAAAACGTGTCTTGCTTCCACCTTCTCTCGTGTAGGTGTCTGCTGCTATTCCTGCTGATCGTAGTGCTAACTAAGAGGGCACATGCTGTAAGTACTCAGGTCCTTTTCTCTGGGTTTTAATTATGGCGCCATAAAGTTATGAACTTCAGGTATCTTTGACAAAAAGCTGCTAATGGTTGGAGGAGGGGTGCATGTGTTGTCTGCACCGACTACTAAGTCTCCTAGCACTGCCCTATGAAAGTTTGTTTTATAAGTACTACTTTTCACCTCTCAGTTCTTCCCTGCTGGTGTTATCCTGCAACTACCTAGGAAAGGACCCGGCTTTGGCTGTTACACAATATTTAGCAAGGAATTAAAAACATAGCCAAAGGCCATCATTTTCCTTTGGAGTAGGCATGCCCCAAACACTTACAAAGAGACTAGGGTGTGAGCCACGTGGCTGGGAGTAACAAATAGTTGAAGGGAAGAAAAGCGTTTATTCACCTAAATACATGCTGGAGGCTGGATGATGGCGGTTTCCTCTTTAGTTTGTTTTTGTACCTGATTTTGAGGGGAAGTCAGAGAGATACTGAATTCACTAAAATAAAAAAAGAAAATCAAAGAAAATATGTATGCTCCCACCCAGTTTTACTCTGTTCTTTGAAAGGCAGTTCTGTTGCTTACTAGCTGTGTGACCTTGAGACAGTCACCTCGCTTCTTGGAGCATCAGTTTCCTCATCTGTAAAAAAGATACTTTCCATCCCTAAAACTGTGGTCCTATGACCTTAGAGCTAGATGAAGTGATAAAAGCATCGGTAATCTGTTGGCATAGTATTGAACTTTGCCTTAGTTTAGAAATAATTAAGGTTACACATGGTGACTATGTCTAAGGGAGTTAATTTTTTTTACTTTTACTTCTCTGGGCATATCATATGAAATTCAGTAGATTGAGTACACAGTATTTAAGCAAACCAAAATTATTAAGATCTTCTGGTGAGCTCCTTCTCCCCACCTTCTATTTTCTTTAGTATTTCTTCAGAATCTAGTTCCCACGTAATCAGCCAAGATAGTATTATTCTAGAAAAAAAACATTTTTTGTTCCTTCTGAACACATGCATACACAATACTTTGTGAGACAGCCAGTCCACGGTAATTTTGGACAGTACTAATTATGAGTGTCATTCCTTAAATTGAGCCAGGAGTTGCCTCCCAGTAATTTTCATTCATTGGTCATTTTAACCCTTGAAGTCACACAATGTCCAGCCCCTCTTCTATATTACAGCTCTGGATGTGTGATGTTTGTTTTAACCACAATCCTCTTCCCACCCCAAACATCTTTCTTGTTATCATATCTTTTCTCCTTCTTTCCTTACAATTATAAAGATTCTCCTGAATTAGGCTTATGATTTGGACTTATTTTTGTACTTTTTCCACTTCATCTTTGCCTTCAATTCGGTTTAAGGTCAAAATCAGCCATGTAGGAATTAGGCCATCACAGTTATGTTTATGGGGAGAGGTTTCAGTGTTTGGGAAATTATTAAACTTAAGGAGCAAATCTGCACACTTGAAGGAATTTTTTAAATCCATTTCTCTCAAAAGAGATAGAATGTCTTTCTGCCCTTTTGTAGTAATTGCAACCCCTTGTGTTACTGCAAACCACTAGTTTGGGTTAATTTCTCAATATTTTAATTTCAGCTCTGCTTCACATAACTTTTAGTAGCAAAAACAAAAAGATAGGCAAGGCATTATAAATGCTTTGGCTAAAAAAAATAGCTGTGGGTTTTTCAGGATTGACTAAAATTTTGATGTTAAAATCCATCCCCCTTTTTCCACTTTACTTGAATCTGAGTACAACTAGGTCCTGATTAGAATGAATAATGAATCCTGTGAAATGGTTACATTATTTTAATTCTTTATTTGAATTGGGTTGGAACCAATTACCACATTTTACATAATTATAACTTTGAGTAATATGTATCCAAATACATGCAGTCGTTTCTTGGAATTCATTATTTGCACTAATCAAGGCCTATTTATAGCTAGGAATTTGTATTTTGGCAAACCAAGCCATTGATGGCACTCTTTATGCTTACATTACACAAAGAAGTTGCCCCCGGACTTATGACCCCCAAAGTAGCTTTGATGTGTAGTCTCAAAAGAGGTGAATAGCAAAAACAAAAGAAAGCTATTAGGAAGGTCTTTTTAGGTTTTTTGTTTGTTTGTTTGTTTCCTAAAAAGAAAATACCAGACTATGGGAGAGAATGTTTGAGGACTTTGTAAAAAATGGCTAAGTAAAATAAATGGTTTTATGGTTTACCACGAACTAGGGTTCATATTCCCTCTCACTTCTGAAATCAGCTGACTGTGAACAAGTCTAGTAATCTTTCTTAGACTTGCTTCATCTGAAAAATAGGAATAATAATTATAATAATAGCACTTTCTGTTGTTTAGTCACTTTTCAGTCCTGTCTGACTCTTCATGACCCCATTTGTAGTTTTCTTGGCAGAGATACTGGAGTGGTTTGCCATTTCCTTCTTCAGCACTTACTTATAGGATCATATATTTAGAGCTAAAAGGGACCTCAAAGACCATTGAGTCTAATCCTTTCGTTGTACAGATAAGAAAGATGGCTCCAAAAAAGTTTGAAAAACTTGCCTAGGGTACCACAGCCATCAAATGTCAGGGAAGAACTTAGATCTTCCCGACTCCAAGTCTAGTGCTCTGTCCTCCTAAAAGCTTCACCACTGAATTGCTGGCAAAATCAAATGGGAAAATGTACGTAAAGCTTAAAGCGCTATATCAAATGGGTTATGAATACTAGCAATGTTATCCTTCCCTCCCATGAAACTATGCCTTGTAACCCTATTTGTCTTCATTATGGAAGAACTGTAGAAAGGACACTGGGTTTGGAGTTGGAAGACCTAGGTTCAATTCTCAGCTATTGACTAAATGACTTTAGACAACTCATTTAAACTTTCCAGATCTCAATTTCATTTGCATCTAGAAAATAAATATAGCTAACATATGCATGGCGCTTTAAGATCTGCCAAGCACTTTACATACATTATTTCATTCAAACCTCACACTAGCTTTATGAGGGAAATACTTTTATTATCCTTGTGACTTGCTCAGGGTCAAACTACAAGTACATCTCTAAAGTGAGATCTGAAAAACTCCCTGACACTTTAAGTGAAATGCTTTAACTACCAAACCATTCTTTTCTGGTAAGGATTAAGAGCTCTTGACTGAGGATGTAATACAGGTTTGAATCAGTGTAGGCTATCAAAGAATGACAGGAATGGGCTAGAAAAAAAAAAGATACAGTCCTAGGAAACAGAAGATCGAGCCTTGTTGATCCAAGATTTGTGACATTGGGCAAGACATTTAACCACATTTTTTTCACTATCTATTATCTGAGGAATAATGTCTCTCTTGTCTGCTAGAAAGAAGGAAGCATTTATTCATGGAGTTGTTGTAAGGACTAAATGTGTGAAATACAGCTAATAGACTAGAAAAGTGCTTTGGAAACTCTAAACTGCTATGCAATTGTAAACTACTATACCTGCCTCTTTTTATACCTGCTTTTTGAATCTATTAAACTCACCCTATTTGTGCCCTGAAAAATAATGTTCTATAATATATAGTTTTATAATTGAACAGTAATTTTCCTAAAAACAATCCCATGAGGTAAGTACTACAAAATATTATTGTACCCATTTTATAGATGAGGAGAACTGAGGCTCAGAAGGGCTAAGTGACTTGCTTTATGTGTGGATTATGCTAAGAAGTAGTGGAACTGGGACTTAAGCCTAGACCTTCTGATTGCAAGTGCGATGTTTTTACCACCGCACCACATTGCTTCTTTCTCCCAGTTTCTATGATGCTCTTACCTTTGAGTATGGCAGTTCATACCTCTCTGGTTCACTTATCGTCTAGTTGCTAGACTGTTGGTCCAGGATCCAAGAATCCAGGTTCATCTGCCAGTTCAGTTCACCATTGAGTCTGTTTCTTGATCTCCAAAATGGGTACATTAACATTTGCGGGGGGAGCTGGGCAATGGGGTTAAGTGACTTGCCCAGGGTCACACAGCTAGTAAGTGTTACGTGTCTGAGGCCAGATTTGAACTCAGGTCCTACTGAATCCAGGGCCTGTGCTCTATCCACTGCACCACCTAGCTGCCCCCAACATTTTTTTAGCAGGTGGTATTTGGAAAGTATTTTGGGATTGCTAAAAATATATCAATGGGTAGTTAAATATGCGTTTTGTATATGTCACATTCAGAGCTAGGACAAAGCATTTGTTCACCCTAGGAAAAGTTTAAAAATTCCATTGCCCCGGGACCTCTATTTGAGAATTTTACCGTTCTGTCCTACAGACACTTTAAAACTTTGCTATAACCCGATCTGTGACTTACCACAAAATGCCTACATGAAAATAGAATTTTATGACACTAAAAATAGGTGCATTTATGTAAAGCAATATTAAAAAGCATTCATATGCATCCTGCATGCTGTATCCTAGGAAGCAGCTTACTTTTCCTTTCCTGGTCTAGGTTCTGATGGCAGCTACTTACTATAGGCATTTTTATCCTATTATATATGTTTTATTAGCATGCTCATTTTAAAACAAGGAATGATTTCATTCATATCATCTGTAAAATGGAGTAATAATATCTGCACTTGATATTAGTTACTTGATGACAAGGTTGTGAGGAACAGGTTATTAGAGGCAGGGTGAAGTAATGAGAACATTGAATCTGGAGTCAGAGGACCAGCTAGACCACTTACTAGATGGATGACCTTGGGCAAATCATTTAACTTTTGGGAACCTTAGCTCTTTCACCTTTAAAATAGAAAAAAGTCCTTTTGAACTCTAAATCTATAATCCAATCTGTGAAAGCATTTTGCAAAGTTTAAAACTTTGTGAGGTATCATTTGTTGAAGAATTCTCTCTTTCCCCCAATTATGGTTTTCTCTATTTGCTTTCCATGCCTAAAAATCCCTACTTATTTCCCATGCTTCTCAGAGACTGAAATTCTCTAGTAACTTATAGGAAGAGGAGTCATCCTACTCTGAATAGAGCAGCTTATGGCTGAAGCAGCTGGAAAT